ATTCTTGCTTGATAATAAGACTGGAGTGTGTGGCACAGTAAAGCCAAAACGAAAGGAAATGCCTGTGTTTGACACTGCTATGCAAGTAGGTGACTGCGAGGTAAGAAAAAGTGGTGCAATGCTTTCAGTGCGGTGGAAAGACAGACGTGAAGTGAACATGTTGACCATCATTCACCCTCGTACAATGGTGGACAGTGGCAAAGTGAACAGAACAACAAAGCAAATAATATATAAGCAGATTGTGTGATGGACTACAACATCAACATGCGTTTAGTTGATAAATGTGACATGATGGTAGGTGCTGTAGAGTGTGAACGGAAAACAGTGAAGTGGACGAAGAAAATGGTTTTCCACCTTATTGACATAACAATGCTGAACAGTTACAACATGTATCTTGTGAAAACAGGTAGAAAACCATATTTCGGTTCATTTAGTTTTCAAGTTGTGAAACAGTTACTAGGTAAATTTGGCAAGGACACACCTTGGCATACAAAGACCCATTCGAGACCCAATATTGAACCATGCTCCTGCACCCAGGCTCGCTTACAGGGTGGCCTTTCTGATACACTAAATAATGAAATTACCACCAACTGGATCTCGTGCAGCAGGCCAGTGTCGGTGTGTTGTGTGTTCCAGTATCAAATTGAGGCCACAGAAACGTAAATTGGTGTTAACATGGTGCGAAGCGTGTGCTGTCCCTCTGTGCTATATCGACTGTTTCACACAGTATCACAGTCTCCAGGACTACTAAATGTGTAATTCTTTGGTAAATAAATGTACATATCAAGTTACAGTAATTTTAGTGTTTATATTGAAAAAACCCAAATACATTGAATATTTCCTGTAAATTATACCATTTTGGTGGGCATACTTGTGACACTAATATGTGAGCGCCTAGTGAGTTTATACCAGTTTTATTATAATACAACGTCTAATGGTAATAATTGGAACAATACTAGTGAAAAAAATTTGTGTAAAATGACTCAAGAATACTGTAAATAATTCCGCGAAATTAAATTCGCAGCAACTCGGGCCTCCTGAGCAGCCGTAAGTGACGGCTTCCTGACGCAGCACCCTTGAGCGCTCACACTCTGTGACGTCATCGGCCAACTTGTCGGCTTAATTGTGTCACTGGTATGTACAATAGAATTTTTTTATTATTTTTCCCGTGCTCAGGGAACACATATTAACATGTTTAGAAGACGAAAAAAAATTTTAAAAAAATTTTCTTACGCACAGGGGTGTAAATGTCCTCAGGACCTACGAGCAGTGGAAGGGTTAAAGATGTGCGTCAAAATGTGCTGATGTGACAAAGAACTATTGTCATGACAGAGAAAAAGAACATGACAAAAAAAATGGATTTATGATACAAAAAGTAGAGTTATAAGAATTTTTAGGATGGTCATGGAGGACATGATAAACTACCAAGGGATCAAAAGACTCGAGAGGTTATGAAACACTAGATATGGCTCACGTTAAGATTCAAGGGAGGTATTCCTGGTGCTTATGCATAGTATATCTCTCAAAATAATATTTTAAGAAGTCAAAACAAAAACAAAAAAATACTCCCCATTCTTCTCTATACATACTTTTTAAAATATGAACATACTGTACTGAGGAAAAGAGAGAATGAGTGGTAGGTAGGTGTAGCTGATGAGAGACGGGCTGATGGGTGTGGGTAGAGGTGTGAGCATGTGGGGAGTGGCATTGTCACTCTTAATGTTCAAACTTCCAGAAGAACCTCTTGTGTAGAAATCTACTGAATGCCTTTTGTAGGCATTTGCATGGTGGCAGGAGGATGTTTGGGTGATGACAGTTAAGTGGTGTAATATTAGCAGTGGTGTGTGGAGGTGGTGGTAGTGGGGTGTGGGGATGGTGGTAGTGGTGTGTGGAGGTGGTGGTAGTGGTGTGTAGAGGTGGTGGTAGTGGTGTGTGGAGGTGGTGCTAGTAGGATGGTGGTGGTAGTGGAGTGTGAAGTGTAGCTACACTCGTGGTGTCCCATCTTCACTGCACTCTGTCATATAATGCTTTTTAAACAACTGATGGTTTTGGCCTCCACCATCTTTTCACCTAACTTGTTCCAGCCATCTACTACTCTATTTGCGAGAGATTTTCGTATATTTCTTCGGCAGCTTTGATATTGATGGTGTGTGGGTGTTATAGTTGGTTTAAATCTATACTATATTAGTTTAAAGCACATACTAGTTAGTTTAAAATTATGATCTCTTCTTCTTGAAGTTCTAGGTCTCGGGAATTCTTCCCTATCAATTTTATCGATTCTCATGAGTGTTTTGCACATAGAGATCATATTGCCTCTTTCTTCTATCTCCTAGTTTTGTCACTTAATGCCTCTAACCTCTGCTCGTAGCTCTTGTCCTTTAGTTCCGGGAGCCTAGTGGGGTGGGGTGGGGGTGGGGGGTGGAGGTAGTGGAGTGTTTGGGTGGTAGAAATATACTGTTGGGATGGCAGTAGTAGGGTGTTAGGGTGGTTGTGATTGGTTGTTGGGGTGAAGGTATTGAAGGGATGGTGATGTTAGTGGAGTGTTGGGATGGTGGTAATGGGGGTTAGTGAAGTGTGCAGGGTACTAATGGGGGGTAGTGGGGTGTGGGGGAACTAATAGTGGGGTGTGGGGGTACTAATAGTGGGGTGTGAGGGTAATAGAACCCATGGGCACCACACCAGAAACAAATACCTATTTGATATTCCATGAGTGTGACTTAACCAAACTAGAAATGCTCTACAACTCAAGGGAACCCAGAATGTGGAATGACCTCCCTAATCATGTCAAAGGTTGTACCTATTTCAACCAGTTTAAGAGTAGAACTAAGTACTACCTAATTAACTCCATGTAACCTATCTTACCTCTAAATGTCAACCCATGTCTTGCTATTCTAAACAATGCTGTTTGTTGACCAACTTGTACAATTGCTGATTTTTGCCATGTTCCCCTTTTTCTTTTTCTTTTTTTTTATTCCTCTTTTTTTCAACTCAATTTATACTTTACTCCCAATTACTATTAAGTTTTAGTCTAAGTGTTTTTCCTCCACACCTTGCCTGAAACACTGTGCGTATTAGTGGCTTTAGGTTTTGTATGTACTAGCTCTATCTATAAATCCAACATTATGTTTGTAACTCTGCATCTATGTATGTACTTATCCTGAATAAACCCCCCCCTGGTAGTGGTGTGTTAACTGGTGGCAGTGGGGCATTGGAGTGGTGGGAGTGAGGTGTTAGGGTGGTGGGAGTGGGACATTGGGGAGGTGGCAGTGGGGTGTTAACTGGTAGCAGTGAGGCATTGGGGTGGTGGGAGTGGGGTGTTGGGGTGGTGGGAGTAGGGGTGTTAACTGGTGGGAGCAGAGTGTTGAGGTGGTGGGAGTGGGGTGTTGGGGTGGTGGCAGTGGGGTGTTGGGGTGGTGGGAGTGGGGTGTTGGGGTGGTGACAGTGGGGTGTTGGGGTGGTGGCAGTGGCGTGTTGGGGGGTGGTGGCAGTGGCGTGTTGGGGGGTGGTGGCAGTGGGGTGTTGGGGGGTGGTGGCAGTGGAGTGTTGGGGGGTGGTGGCAGTGGGGTGTTGGGGGTGGTGACAGTGGGGTGTTGGGGGGTGGTGGCAGTGGGGTGTTGGGGGTGGTGGCAGTGGGGTGTTGGGGGGTGGTGGCAGTGGGGTGTTGGGGGGTGGTGGGGGTGTGGGGTGTTGGGGGGTGGTGGCAGTGGGGTGTTGGGGGGTGGTGGCAGTGGGGTGTTGGGGGGTGGTGGCAGTGGGGTGTTGGGGGGTGGTGGCAGTGGGGTGTTGGGGGGTGGTGGCAGTGGGGTGTTGGGGGTGGTGGCAGTGGGGTGTTGGGGGGTGGTGGCAGTGGGGTGTTGGGGGGTGGTGGCAGTGGGGTGTTGGGGGGTGGTGGCAGTGGGGTGTTGGGGGTGGTGGCAGTGGGGTGTTGGGGGGTGGTGGCAGTGGGGTGTTGGGGGGTGGTGGCAGTGGGGTGTTGGGGGGTGGTGGCAGTGGGGTGTTTGGGGGTGGTGGCAGTGGGGTGTTAGGGGGTGGTGGCAGTGGGGTGTTGGGGGGTGGTGGCAGTGGGGTGTTGGGGGGTGGTGGCAGTGTGGTGTTGGGGGTGATGGCAGTGGAGTGTTGGGGGTGGTGGCAGTGGGGTGTTGGGGGTGGTGGCAGTGGGGTGTTGGGGTGGTGGCAGTGGGGTGTTGGGGTGGTGGGGGGGTGGTGGCAGTGGGGTGTTGGGGGTGGTGGCAGTGGGGTGTTGGGGGTGGTGGCAGTGGGGTGTTGGGGGTGGTGGCAGTGGGGTGTTGGGGGTGGTGGCAGTGGGGTGTTGGGGTGGTGGCAGTGGGGTGTTGGGGGTGGTGGCAGTGGGGTGTTGGGGGTGGTGGCAGTGGGGTGTTGGGGGTGGTGGCAGTGTGGTGTTGGGGGTGGTGGCAGTGTGGTGTTGGGGGTGGTGGCAGTGGGGTGTTGGGGGTGGTGGCAGTGGGGTGTTGGGGGTGGTGGCAGTGGGGTGTTGGGGGTGGTGGCAGTGGGGTGTTGGGGGTGGTGGCAGTGGGGTGTTGGGGGTGGTGGCAGTGGGGTGTTGGGGGTGGTGGCAGTGGGGTGTTGGGGGTGGTGGCAGTGGGGTGTTGGGGGTGGTGGCAGTGGGGTGTTGGGGGTGGTGGCAGTGGGGTGTTGGGGGTGGTGGCAGTGGGGTGTTGGGGGTGGTGGCAGTGGGGTGTTGGGGGTGGTGGCAGTGTGGTGTTGGGGGTGGTGGCAGTGGGGTGTTGGGGGTGGTGGCAGTGGGGTGTTAACTGGTGGGGAGTGGGGTGTGGGCACTGAGGTGGGGCAATGGAGTGTTAGGGTGGTGGTACACATATACATAAATCAGGAATAATTAGGTATGTGTTGAGTATGTATAAACATACATGTGGACATATACATACACATAACTGACATATACATACACATAACTGACATATACATACACATAACCAACATTTCTTCATTACCTTACTCAAATTAAAAAAAAAAAAACTTACCTAAATATAAATATGAATAGTATAAGAAGAGAGAAGAAGATAGCGACGTTATCCATGGTGCGGAGCATGACAAAAAGCTGCCGTCGAAGTTGGGGCATGAACCGCACCAACTTGAGAATGCGAAGGAGGCGAAAGGTCCGGAGTACAGACAGCCCTGAACCCTGCCCTGCTTGTTGGTCTGTCACTGTTGATGATGACGAATAGCTCTCGTACATCTCCACAATACTGTTTGGAAGATATCACAATTAAACAAGATCACTGGTGTGCAAGCTTGGCTTTGAGAGAATAGAATGATTAATGTACCAAATATATTGAGAAAGTTTATTCAGAGGTTTTCAAGAAGGCCAATAAGGTATAAAAAATTGGTGCTGTCCTGTGCTTGGGGTATCATGAGTGCCTGTGGGTGTAGACATTTGTAGACTTAACCAAAATGTCAGTCAAGTCTACAGAGTCTAAGATATACAGTAAAGCTCCAACTATTCACTACTCGTCTAACAACAGGCCTCAATTATCTGCAAATGTTCATGGTGGGAACTAGTTACCGAAGTATGCAATTCTTTAATCATCACAAGCACAGACATTCGCAAAGCCTGCGTGTTTTGGAATTCGCATAGCACTGGTTTTTCATACTCTCAATACACTACTAATACAAACTTCCACACAGACTACCTACCTTCTTGTGTATTGAATTTATCATTTTTTTTACCAGAACACTGTTATGTCTATCATAGGGTCTTATTATATTTCATCATTTGGTAAAAGTTCTATCATGTAATAAGTTTAAGAGAGCTGTATTAATGTGGGGATGATAAAGAATATGGCCTCAATGGTCTAATTTTGAAAATGAAAGCTAAAGAATTACATCAGAAAATGAAATTGCAGAAGTGAGCATACTCTCAGTGAGATTACATATTCATTCTACATATAAATTTATTAGCCATTACTTGTCTTATACAACATGGGTCTAAGGTAGGTAAATATCTGGAATCATTCAAAATTTACTCACTAATTTGAACCTCAATAACTCAAACCTACATATAACTCATCCCAAAACACTGCCAAACTGGACTGTCTCTTGACTAAGGTATTGACAGTATGAGGATCAGCGGTCGAGTCACATACCAACACTACAAATACTGTGCAATCTCTATTATCCAGACCAGTTTGTGCCAACATGTCCAGATAACTAAAAATTCCTGATAACTGAACAATATTAGCACTGAATATAATGACACACCTCTTTCTGGTGGCTTCTTGGTGCTTTCTACTATCAAGCCTCTATAGTGTCTACTCTCGTGAAAAATCTAGTGCCATCTACAGAGGATGATACAGTACTATAGTTTGTATCCTTGTCCATGTCAGATATGAGGATGAGGAAAGGTACCCCAGCAAGTATGGTACCTCGATGAACTGAGCTCTTCACGGTGGATGATTCAGATTTTACTTTCTTGACTATTACATTCTGGGTTCTATTTGTTAGTAAGTTAAAGATCCATCTCCCTATTTTGGCAGTAATTCCTTTTGTGTGCAAACCCACCATGGTCACATTTGGCAAAAGCATTTTCAAAATCTGTTTATATTTTATCAGTGTTTTGTTTGTCTTCCGTGGCATCTAAGGCCATGATCTATCAATTGGAGAGGCAGGAGCACCCTGTTCTAAAGCCATGATGTGCAGGGTTATGTAGACACTGATTCCATGTGTTTTGTGATATTACTTCTCAGCATTTTTCAAAGATTTTTATCATGTGCAATGTTAGGGCTATTGGTCTACAATTACTTGCATCACCTCTACTACCTCCATTGTGAAGTGGTGCAATGTCTGATATTTTAAGTATCTAGGGAGATAATGCCAGTATCTAGTCTCCATCTCCAAAAACGAGGTTTAAGGTCCCCATGATAGTGGTTTTTTGCATATTCTTGATGAATATGGAATTCCAGGAGTCTGGGTTTGGTGCAGAGTGCATGGCCAAGCTGTGTATGGCCTGCTTCAAAGTCGAGCGGGGTTAGAGTAACCCCACACGGCAAAATCGATGTTACCCTAGGGTTAGGGTAACATCAGATATATGGTTTGATAGTGGTGTCACATTCATAAAGAATTTGTTTGGATCATTGATCTGCAATGTGTTCAGGAGTTCACTGAAAACCGTCATACTGTAGCATTAGTATTTCACTTATTTCTTTGCTGTCATTTGTGAAGGTTTCATTACCCTTGCACACGGGCCCAATGCAATATGTAATTTATGTAATTTGAATTATGTTCTAGATTTTGCCTAGGAGAAAAAGTATTTTGGATTCCCCTCTATTATACTTCAGGCCTTCTGCTCTCTTTGACTCTCCTGGATTTTATATGAGTCTTGCAACCTTAGCTCAACTATTTCTATTTCTTATATAGCCTTCTTTGTCGTTCTTGGAATAGAGTTGAATGTTTGAGATGTTCTGCAATTTGCTATCGTTGCCTGTAACGGAAATACTATTCTCATTTCAGTTTGCATTTTTTTCCATTTCCTTAGTGGTATCTGACTTGCACATATTTCTAGTGCTACGGTACATATTGTCTCCTGGCACTGGTTTAAGTTTGCATTATCTAGCTGTCTTTTTTTAATAATAATAATAATAATAATAATAATAATAATAATAATAATAATAATAATAATAATAATAATAATAATAATAATAATAATAATAATTTATTTACAAAAAGTACATACATAGTTGCAGTATTCCAGTACAAACATTCTGTTTGATTTAAAGATAGAGGTAGTACATACAATACCTAAAGCCACTAGTACGCAAAGCATTTCGGGTAAGATGAGGTGGGAAAAAAAACACTTAGACTAAAACTTAATAGTAATTGAGCTTAAAGTATAAATTGCATTGAAAGAAAACAAAATAATAAAGATAAAAAAAGGGGAAACATGGTAGAAAATAGCCAATATACAAGTTGGTCAACAAACAGCATTTTTTTTTTTAAATAGTAAGACATGGGTTGACATTTAGAAGGTAGGTAGGTTACATGGAGTTAATTAGGTAGTACTTAGTTTTCATCTTAAATTAGTTATCTTGAGATGATTTCGGGGCTTTTTAGTGTCCCCGCGGCCCAGTCCTCGACCAGGCCTCCACCCCCAGGAAGCAGCCCGTGACAGCTGACTAACACCCAGGTACCTATTTTACTGCTAGGTAACAGGGGCATAGGGTGAAAGAAGCTCTGCCCATTGTTTCTCGCCGTTGTTGTTGAGAGAGAGGTTTTGAGAGGAGAGTTGTAGTTGAGAGAGGTTTTAGCATGTTTCTTTGAGGGTTTGGTTTGTATGTTCCCAGATTATCCACTTGTTAATCCCATGCTCACCTTGGGTGGAAGATGACATGAAAATTCAATGGGTATGGAACTAAGTATACTTATGCTTTCTGTAGTGTCCTTTATTCTTATCTTATTATTATTTCAAGTTGTTAGTGATGTTGGTATATTCATGTTGAATACTACATATATGTAGTAATAAAATTACTGTTTTTGTGCTTCAAAAATCAACTTAGCATTTTTCTAACAATATAACAACTTTGTACCAACCAATTTCCATTTACTGTATCTGGAATTATTTTTGACATGTCAGAAAATACAATCTTAAATCTAATAATGCAAAAAAAATTGCATAAAATTAAAATTAGCTTACAAACAACTTTCTCAAATTTATTATCACATTACCTGAGGATGACAATGATGCCATCAAAAACATTGAAACCATTGCTTATGTAACCAAAGGGTCCCTCGGCAATAACCTTTAGCAACATTTCGACGGCAAACACAGCTGAGAAGACGAAGTTGCTCAGTTCCACAATAATTGTCAACATCATCGGCTGAGGACAGACAGAAAATGGGGATAACATTGAGATTATACTGTATAACAGACTGCATGGATATCACAAAATACATATAGAACAGAATCATTAATGTTCCAAAATGAATCACTCAATACAGTACAAGTACTGCATGCAGAAGTTCAACGCAAATAAGCAAGTCAAATATATGTAATAATCAACCATATAAAATTAAATGTACAATACTCAATATAGTTTCAAGAAATAATGCTCTGAGTACATAATGAAAAGCATCTCTGAGACTAGCTGAGGCCAATTTGAATTGATTGATATGAAAGACATTCCATGTAAGTGTTCTCACTTGAGATCAAATGGCACTGCCACACGTGTGATCTCCCAAACTTTCGACAGTTTGGCTTGGTTGATAAGTGTGATCTGATGATTGGTGCTGTTGAGTAAGTAAAGCAATGAAATGGACTAAGTAAGTGTTTTTTTCACCTTGTTCACATAACCATGGTAAATAGTTATAATATGTATATGATGAAATCAGGCTATAGAGCAACTATATGCAGTCTTGCTGTTTTAACAAAATTAGTAACAACATTCTGAAAAGACATTCGTGTTATATCCAGAGCATTCTCAGCCCAATAATATCTCATGCTCCTCCAGACAGACTGGCATTCAAGGACTTATTCATCTTCACAAAATAGACATACCAGCTTCTGGAAAATGTGCAAAAGGCCAACATGAGAGCTTTGCTTGTAAAAATATACAGAGGATGCCAAAGGCATGTAAATGGGTCACAGCATGGCACAAAGAGTGTGCTGCCGCCCTGCATCATGTGAACTGTTTAAGAGAGTAGTACACCCTCCAGAACTTCCGAGTGTTTCATGATGGAGCATAAACATGTTCATAATGAGTGAGCAAGTGTATATTGTAGAAAACATTAGTGTGTTTTTTAAAACTTACTGTAAAACAGAACATTTTGGTGAGTATATTACTGACAAGCAAACATTTGTGCATATCAATGTTCAAGTGACATCCTATTAACACTTTCGCCCGGGCATGACGCAACATTGCGTCATCCGTTTACTGGCGGTAATACCGGGGATGACGCAGCATTGTGTCATCCATTTTAAATAATCGCCAAAAATCAGGTTTTTATCTAATTTTTTTGGGACTGGTTTTAAAATGTGCGCCGATGTCTTCCAATTTTCTTTGTTGAGCCTCGTGGCCCTCAAGTGGCTTGGCACATGCCGTGGGCCCATTGTTTTCGCTCCACTGTTGTGACCAATGTCGCCTCCCCTCGCATCTCAAACGTGTGAACATTTCGGCTATTTTCCGTGGCTATATTTCTTACTGCGGCTTTAGAAACTATCTACCCTTACTCCACGATGGATAGTGATCATGAACAAGGCCCTTCCAGGAAGAAAATTGCGAAAGAAAGGCTTGAAAAGGGAGGGAATTGGGAGTGTAGCTGGAAGGCGTCCGAGCGCTCACTGGCGGCTAACGCGTGGCCCGTCTTCAACTCGTCGGCGGTTGGAGCGTGACCAGGTTTTATATTTTATATGCTAATGTTCCTCTAGAGAATTCTATTGCGAACCCATTGAGACCAAAATGAAAGACCTAGGACAAAAATTGAGGTGACCAGAGTGAAAATAGTGAAAACATTTTATCGCGTTTGTGCGCTCCTGGGTAACTCGTTCGCACTTTCTCTGTTTGCTGCGGGTAATTAGCCGGGCTTTTGGAGTTTATATGCATTTAGTGCTGTAGAGAATTCTATTGCGAACACAATGATACCAAATTTAATCTCGTAGGACGAGAATTAAGGTGACAAAGTTGAAGAGAGTATACACTTTTCAGAATTTACGCGCGCTCCTGTGACACCCTGGGTCCCATATCGCACTATTGAGGGGTGGCGTGCGGGGTGAGCGAAAGTGTTAAAAAAGTCCAGTGAAAAAAAATTATGAAGAAATACCTGAGTGACTTTATAAATAAATAAAAATAAATGTATTCATGGCAACTCCCAGCAATTGAATGGCCCTCACGCCCCTCCAAAACGCTAGCTGCAGGAGCGAGCATAAATGGATTATACGATAACAGGTTTTCTCTGCTCCGCTACAGCCATGGTAAGTCATATTTATTATTTTCCCCCATATCCAGGGTATGCATTTTAACAATATTAGAAGAAAGCAATTTAGTGGGGACGGGAGGGGAAAGAATTTGTTTTCCTGCACACCAAGGTGTTGTATAAACAGAGGCACAGCTCAGGGTTAATGTTTAACCGTAAACAGCTCAACTATTTAAGTTATATATCATGATATCTTGAGTTATCTTGAGATGATTTCGGGGCTTTAGTGTCCCCGCGGCCCGGTCCTCGACCAGGCCTCCACCGCCAGGGAGCAGCCCGTGACAGCTGACTAACACCCAGGTACCTATTTTACTGCTAGGTAACAGGGGCATAGGGTGAATAAAACTCTGCCCATTGTTTCTCGCCGGCGCCCGGGATCGAACCCAGGACCACAGGATCACAAGTCCCACGTGCTGTCCGCTCGGCCAACCGGCTCCCATGATGTGCTTGACAAAAAATAATAAACAAATTATATGTTAAAATATCATATATAACCATTGGACCTGGTTAAAGGTTAAGCAAATTTTTAATCTATTATGGGACAATAGGATGGTTTATTTTTGTTCAAGTGTTAAACATGAATGTTCTTACCTGGTTATGGTACTCGATGCCCATGCTGAGGGTGTTGATGAGGATAGCAATAAGAATGCCCCGTTGAAAGTATCTGTGATCCACCAGCTTCTTGATATACACACGAATTTGTGAACAAAATCTGTGGGCTAAAGAAGGCTGTTTTGTCCCCTCATCCTTCCAATCTTCATCACTCCAGTCAGACTCTGAGTCACAGGAATCAGACTCTGAATAGTAATTTGTGAAACCTGCAGGGGCTTGATCAGCAGAAAAGAATAAAGTTGGTGCTGAAAAGTGTTTGACTCCTTTGGCCAATGAGGAATAAAGTGTGTGGACGGAACGGGAGTCAATGCCCAAGTGTGTGGGCAAAGCAGCAGAGAGAGCACCACTAAGTGCCAGTAGTTCTCCACAAGTGAGAGAACCCTTTCCCCCTGAACCATTATTTGAGGGTGTTCGCGAGACAGAACGCAAGGAAGATTTATTCTTGTTAAGGGGTAGGAGGGCTGGGGGTAGTAGAGCAGGGGGCATAAGAGAAGGTGGTCCTGGTGTGTGAGGTGATGGGGGTAAGGGCTCACGGAAATATGATGGATCTAGAGGTTCATCGTCAGTTTGCGTAGTCTTCTCACTGTGACAGACATTTTTTGTTGCTGTCTCCCCAGCATGACCATGAAGAAGCACTACATCACTGAACATGACAGAGCTGCGTCGACGCTGTCGTGGGGTACAGGTGCCCTGACCACCTGGTGATGGTGGCAAGAGCTCATTGCTGCCATCCCCACTTGTACCACTTGAGATTTTGAGGAGAACAGGACGATGTGTGGAGGCTTGAGGATCTATGTCAGAAAATTCTGGGCTAATGCGGGGAGCATTATTGTTTCTCGAGTCGTCTGGAACTTCGTGTACTTCTGGAGGTGACAAAAGCTGTGGAGATGTTGAGCTTATGTTATTCATCACAGTTAAGGCTCCACCAGGTCCAATGCCACCAACAGTAGGAGCCATGGCTACTACAGTGCTTGGCACTCCAGATACTCCACCTTCCCGACTGATAATGGCACTCTGTGCTGCCTCATATTGTCGACGACGACGCTGCTTCTTGAGACTCAGCTGATGAGGATGATCAGACTTGTTTCTCCGGCGAAACTGTTTGTACCGAATGTAAAATTTTCTCTTTCCTCGTCTCCATAAGTGAGCAATATATTTTATAATTTCTGCATAGCATGAATTTGGTTCCGAAGTGGAACCAGATGCAAGTGTACTAGTTGACTGAAACCTGGCACGCTCCATTTTCATTCGCTCCATTTCTCGCTTCTTAGTCTCTGAAAACTGAGTAGCAATAACAACCAGGCACAAGTTGATCATGAAGAATGACCCAATCTGTAAATGGAAAAAAAAAAACAGATAACTAAAATGGACTCTTAACTAAAGTACAGTACAGTATGTAGTTGCGAATAGGAGGGACATAAATGGTATCAATCTATAGTAACATACCTGTATATAGATAGTCCCACAGAGGGACATAACATTATAAATTTATAGCTGTATTGTACTTCCAGTTCTCAAAAAAACCAGCGTTGAATGTAATGAAACACCACTTTCTGAATGAGCCCCGGAGGCTTCCTGGAGCTATCAGACTGATATACGCTATATTAGTCTGGGGCATCAGTCAATTGGAGTTTTCCCTACCGGGGACCACGAGCCAAAACCTGGTGCCCTCAGAGAAGCACAGAGAGCAATGGCTTATGGAAATCCCCATGTGTTTAGAAGCATTCCATGTCTGCCATCAATTGGGGTTAGGCACCCAGAAAGATAGGCATGACAAAACAAGCCCCACCTGGTAAGAAATTGCAATCAAAGACCGAACAGAGACAGAACTCCCCCCAAAACCACAAAGAAACAAGCAAACAAGAAAATGTCATTCACCGCTGCCACGCCACTTGTCTGTGCAGCCCTCCCCTCCCTGAGAAGGGGAGCGGGGGGAGCCTCGGACCCCTGTGCCGGCTACTCACACCTCAGTTTGGAGGGGAAGCATCAAAAACAAAATCGCCAACTGGAGGGAGGGAGGGTGCCAAAGAGCCTCCAAGGAACACCTAGAAAATGGCTTTTCATTACATTAAACGCTGGTTTTCTGTCAGGATCTCCCCCCCCCTTTGGCTCCCTGAATCTACATAACCAAAGACAAGTTCAAGAGGGACTTACCAGGGAGGCTGCCGTGATGCACACATCAACTCTTAAGTCAAGACAATTGACTGCAACCTGCGACCCAAAGCCACACATGAATGATCGGGACCAGGAATACTGACCAAATAATGAGCAACCAGGACCCCTGTTCGATCTCCAAAACCCCAGCGGTCGAATGTCAGCACAGACATGTTGTTAAACACGGCAGCCAAAGCAGCATATTTACGAACGTCGTGGGCACGAAAGTAGACTGCAGGCTGGCTAGGCCTAATAACCCTGTGGACCCGAGCCCTGGAACAGGGAATTAGGAAAATCGGGTCAACCCAAAGCACGTCCAGAGCCACAGAGGCAGAGTCACACAGGTAACAGTGGAGAGACAAAACTGGACACAACATATGATGCACCCCCAGCCTGACCAACCAAGCATCAATAACCCAAGGGCCCCTCTGGAAGCCTGCCGTCTTGTTCTTCGCCAGAAAAAGAGATGACTGAAACAACAAACTGACCACACAGACCGAAAGAGCTGAAACCCCTGTGCCAGAGGAGAGCTTGAAGCTCACCAAACCAACCTCCAGAGGCCAATGCCAACAGAAACAGAGTCTTGGAAAAACAATCTTAAACCGAAGGGGCCATCACAAACCGAGTAGAAGAGAAAAGAAAACACCCAGTCCAAGGACCAGGATGGCTCAGGCAGTGCATGAGCAGGCTGAAGGTGAAACAAAGCACAAGAAAGCTTATAAAACGGGGCAGAAATAACATCCACCCCGAGTGCAAGCTGGTTCAGCTCCGCCAGTGCTGCACGGTAAGAGGCGACAATATTGGGCTCAGTGACGGCCCTGAAAAAGCTAGGCACCACGAAGGCACAAATTCTGTCAAGAAATCAAAGCCAGAGTTGACGACTGCCCCAGAGCGCATCAGCCAACAAACTGTGGTGTGAGTAGCCGGCATGGGGGTCTGGGGCTCCCACCCTTTTTCCCCTCCCGGGGAGGGGAGGGCTGCGCAGACAATTGGCGCAGTGGTGGTGAATGACGTTTGTTTGCTTGTTTGTTTCCTTATGTTTTTTGGGAAGTTCTGTCTCTCTGTTCGGTCTTCAGTTGTAATTTCTTACCAGGTGGGATTTGTTTTGTTATGGCTACCTTTCTGGGTGCCTAACACCGGTTGATGACAGACATGGAATGCTCCAAACCACATGGGGATTTCCATAGGCCACTGATTCCTGTGCCTCTCTGAGGGGCCAGGTTCCAGGTTCTGGTTCATGGTCCCCAGAAGACTGAACTCCATTTGACTGATGCCCCAGACTAATATAGCATATATCAGTCCGAGAGCTCCAGAGAGCCGTAGAGGCTCCCCACAGAAAAAAAAAAAAAAGTTACAGTATATCAAAATAATTACAGTAACTTTTCAAATTCTCCATAGTTAAGTAATCCATTGACAAGTATCATACTTATAGTCACCCCTAATACTTACAAATGCTAAAGTCAAGCATCTAATTTTACTATATTTAAAAATCACCGGTTTATTTAACCTCACGGAATTTAATAGCCATCATCTAAACCCACTAAAAATAAATAATACATGATCAATTCCAGAATGTGATTATTTCTCCTAAACTCACCACAATTAGTAGCACAAAATATATCCAGTCCCAAAAGGAGTGAGCATCCTGTACATAGTACATAATGTCCGTCCAACCCTCCAAGCTGATCACCTGTTGGAATATGACATTTTTACTGGTAAATTCAACAGACAACAAACTTTTATTATCATTTTAATTTTGTTAATTGTGTACTATGGTGGCATAATAAAGGTCTAAACTATGATTTTTCTTCATTGTGGGATGCAGCAAGACTGTGTAAGCAGGAATATATAAAGTGTTTACCATATTATACTACATTTCAACCAGGTATGATTAACAATAAAGAGGTTTCATGCCAGATGTAAAGAGTAGGACCTTGACATTACTATGCTTGCTAAATGATCTGGAAATGTAATTTTGCTGTTTGTGATTATGTCACTGGAAGAGTCTGCGTTTAAAGCACAGATTTGGTATGTAAGATTCCTAGTAACAAAAGACATTGCTCTCTTCACATCTACCATTACCTCTTCAAATATACATGACAACTAAGGATATTATTGCCATTTATGATCACCCTGCACAAGGCAATGAAGAATGTTTTAAAGAACCACCTAAGATTTAAAACTTAAGATTTTCCATCCTGTTGTGTAAACCATTTTAACTTTTGACTATCCTGGGCCACGTGCATTGTTAAAGTTGTTGGTCTCGGTGCATAATTCCCAGTGTACAGTACAGATCACCGTGTATGACAATAAGAACACTCTTCAGGTGTACCAGTAAACTGTGAATAAGTGAAGCTTTAGAATGTATGTGTTTGTTAATTGAGTTCAAATCTTGGGGACTAGTAATATATTTGTAAAGTCCTGTTTTAAAAGTGTTTGTAAAGTACAATCATGCTCCTAATATATTTTGTACCTTTAAGGTTAAGACTATAGAAATAAATCCCTGTATGATTTCATAAGCTATTATTTGCAAAAGCCTTTTCCCAATATAGATGCCTCTAGCTTACTGTCCTAGTTACATACTCTGTAAAGGTCTGTCCTGGAACAAAAAATCCCACAACAAAACCTAACCAGTCCCTGAACTAGGGATGAATCGACACTGCCAATAAGCATCCTATAGGTCTAGAGACACCATTCAGGAATCTGCCTGCAACACCAGGCACACCTGCCGAGAAGAGATCATTTGGAAAGTTGAACAAAGAATGAAGTGATTAAACCTGAAAGGTCAAGAATGAACTGCAGGTCTGGCGAGTTCCACTTAGGAACTGGAAACAAGTGAGAAACCCACCACAGAGTGGTTGGAACTGGTCGAGGAACAGCTCCAACACAACCTAAGTGCAAATAAGGCCTGTGATCTCCATGAACTCAGGCCCAAAATGCATACAGTAGGCACCTTTGTGGCAGTCAGGTGGCAGCTAATTTTCCAGTACTAAACAGTAATGTGCAAAGCAAGAATTGGTATTCCTTGCATTGCAATTATTGCTTGGAGGTGCTGTTGAAAGGTTTACTCTGCTCTTTGGTGTCATAGTGAGACATCTCAGTGGTGGACTGAAACTATACCCTGTCTTCATTATCCAACTATGCAGCAGAATCCTTAAATAGTTAATTGTCACTATAGGACAAAAGTCAACTACAGCATAGCATATGAGCAGTGTCCTGAGTGGACCCTGACTGCTAGTGAAGGGGAGCAACCAGGAAGGCATTACTATGAAAATACTCTAAACTAACAAAAGCCACATGATATTCTAAAAAAAAAAAGTATATACACACCAGAAAGATAGCCACCCATGCTAGACCAATGTTGTCGAAGGAAATTGCCCCTTGAAATGGATTCTTGTCTCCTGGACGACAGTCTGTGTAGTATTGGTTCCAGTTGACACAGGACATGTTGGTCGGCTCATTTGATACATGCAGAAGTGCAGAGTCATTACATAGCATTCCTGATGGCATAACAATAAAATACTGTACTGATATAAAAATATTTTTCTTCAATAACTCAGACATCAAATTAGGAATGTTTAACATATTTGGTGACCATGTTACTAGTGTGAGAATTAGTAATTAAAATTTTCATACAAAAACAAAAAATAGATAATAAAGCACATTACCTTGATATTTTGTATGTGGAAGATTTCGACACTCATGCATACCATTATCTTTGGGAAGGGAGCAGATGTAGTCCTTCTCTTGGTCTGTTTCTCTGAAGTAGGAGGTGATGGGCCTGAAGGTAAGAAAAAGATGCAATCCAACTGCAATGGGTATGGCCACAGCAACCTTGAGAGTGCTTATTCATTCATGAACTTCTTAAACAAAAATTTAACTTTTGCTCGAGTTAGAATTTAAAAATTTTGGCCAATTATTTATTCCTTGTTGATCCTTCTAGATAATATAAGGCAAGAAATAGGGTTAATATGTGTACCTAAGTGATTAGCTTAGGTCTGGGGTTTTACAAAACAATCTTCAGGTACAGTAGATCCTCGTTCAAATGAACTGCTCTCTTAACAAATTTCGGGATGGTCCAAACAGATTGGGTTCAGTGCAAATTGTTTATGAGAACATACACATGTTCAACTAAATGAGGACTGCTGATCCAAGCTGTTGACGAGGCAAAGCGTTGAAATGCAGCTGTATTAGTATCAACCATGAACCCTCTTATCCAAGTGTAAACTGTTATGCATTGCTTAAAAACTTTTAACCAACTTAAACATAATATTTTACAAATTGCATTATAAAATATTAATCTTTAAAAAATATACATAGAACAACCAAAAGTGAACTTCTTATTATGTAACTTGTTACTAATGTTTATCCTTACCCAAGAGAACTGAAGTTCAACTGTGAATATAATAGGTAAAAATTTTAACAAATACAGTATACTAAATTATGACAAATTATTATACAAGCATTTGTCAGACAATAGTAACTCAAAACTAAATTAGATGGATGCAAAACTTATTCCAAGCCACAAGTCAGTACATATAATTATAAAAGTGTAATTACAAGTAAAGTTACAGGATGAGAGCTACACTCGTGGAGTTACAGGATGAGAGCTACACTCATGGAGTCACATCTTCCCAGCACACACTCTCATACAACGCTTTGAAACTACTGAATGGTTTTGGTCGCCATTAGATTCAGATTCAGATTCAGATTCAGATGTTTATTCAGGTAAGGTATATACATACAAGTGATGTTACATTAATGGATTGATATATAGATAGAGCTAGTACATACAATGCCTAAAGCCACTATTACGCAATGCGTTTCGGGCAAGAAAAACATTAATATCTAGAACTTAATACTAATTGAGCATAAAGAATAAAAGATGTTGAGAACAAATACAAATAAAGATAAAAAAAAGGGGGAACATGACTGAAAAAGCAGCACAAATACAATAGGTTGACAAACAGTGTTGATTAAAAAAAAGAAAAAAAAAGAAAATAAAAGAAAATAAAAGAAAATAACTTTCTCACTTAACTTGATTCAACCGTCTACCACTCTGTTTGCAAAAGAAAACTTTCTAATATTTTTTTGGTACCTTTGTTTCATTAGCTTTAATCTATGACCTCTTGTTCTTGAGGTTGTCATTTTCAGGAATTCCTTTGTCAATTTGGCCAATTCTCGTAATTATTTTGCAAGTGGTGATGATATCGCCTCTTTCTTTTATCTTCCATCTTTGGCATATTTAACGTCTCTAGCCTCTTCTCATAATTCTTGTTTTTCAGTTAATGAAGCCATTTTGTAGCATACCATTGGACCTTTTCCAGTTTATTGATGTGCTTTTTGGGATATGGGCACCATACAACTGCTGCATATTTCAATTTTGGTCTCACAAAAGTCATGAACAGTTTCTTTAGTATTTCATCATCCATGTAATTAAAAGCAATTCTGAAGTTGGAAAGCACGGCATATGCTCCTCATACAATGTTCTTTGTGTGGTCCTCTGGTGACAATTTGCTATCCAGAACCACCGTTAGATCTCTCCGAGTTTTTTAATTCCTTTCCACATAATCCGTAGGTTGTGTCGACTATTTTCTCTGTATTCTGTCTGGTAGATCATTTATTTAGAAGATGAACATTACTGGTGCAAAAACCAAACCCTGTGGTACTCTTCTAGTAACACTCCTCCAGTCAGATACATTGTCTCTGATTACCACCCTCACTTTTCTGCCAGAAAATTTTTCGTCCATTTCAGCAATCTTCCTGTCATCCCTCCAGCATGTTCCAGTTTCCAGAACAACCTGTTGTGAGGGATCCTGTCAAAAGCCTTTTTAGATCCAAATAGATAGTCAACCCAACTGTTTCTTTCCTGAATATTCTGCTGCTCTATCATAAAAACTAAGTAGATTGATTTGTTACACAGGATCTTCCTGCTCGAAAACCATATTGTCCTATGTTGTTATATAATTACTCTTCAGGTGTTCTACCCATTTCGTTTTAACTATTTTTCATAGTGTTTTGACTACCCCGCTTGTTAATGATATGGGTCTATAATTTAGAAGGTTTTCTCTGCTACCATTTTTGTAGACTGGAACTATGTTTGCTCTTTTCCATATATCTGCTAAGTTTCCTGTGCACAATGATGTCTGGAATATCAACTGAAGTAGAATGCTCAGCTCGGTTGCACATTCTCTCAGCACCCAACGTGAAACTCTATCTGGTCTAACTTTCTTTATTTCCTTCTAGCCCCCTTGAGTAATTTTTCCATTCCATCTCAAGACACCCTTGTGTACTCTATGGTGTTCTCCAGAATTGGCATTGTGTCTGGTTCACTGAAAATCTCATTTTACATAAACACTTCAAAACTGTTCATTTAGCATTTTGCACATTTCTTTTTTGTCGTCTGTGAATCTGGTCTCCCATTCTCAATCTCTGGATTTTATCCTTTACATGCCACTTGCTTTTAATGAATTTATAAAAAAGGCCTGGATCTGTTTTACATTTGTCTGCTACCCCTTTCTCAAAGTTCCTTTCTGCCTCTCTCCTCACTGCTGTGTATTTGTTTCTTCCTTGTCTCTAGTGCTGGCATGTTTGAGGGTTAGGCCTCTTCCTATATAGTACCCATTTCATGTTGGGTGAAAGGTAACCCTTAACTCTTGGACATTAGCTATATAAAAATGGTCATTCCTGGCTATGCAAGGGAAAAAAATTCCATTATAGAATTATTAATTTGCAAAATTTAAGAAAAAATGTGAAGAATAAGTGAATATTTATCTTTTTACCGGGTGGAGGCTCTCGAGAGACAGAAACAGCAGTGTGTATGCCCAATTTTTATATTTGTTTTTTATATTTTTATTGATATATACAAGAGTTCTTACATTCTTGTACAGCCACTAGCACGCGTAGCATTTCGGGCAAGTCCTTAATCCTATGTTCCCTGGAATACGACCCCCGCGAAGAATCGTTTTTACAACCAAGTACCCATTTTACTGTTGAGTTAAACAGAGGCTACAGTTAAGGATTTGCGCCCAGTAAATCCTCCCCGGCCAGGATACGAACCCATGACAAAAGTGCTCGTGGAACGCCAGGCGAGTGTCTTACCACTACGCCACGGAGACTGCTTCATTTTTTCATTTGACTGCATGGAGACAATTCATTTTTTTGGGGGGGAAGGGGAAAGGTTGCATGGGGTCTGATGGTTAGAACAAAATTCCAAAGGAAACAAACGGGTCTTGCCCCATATAGTTCATTCAAGCGAGGATACACTGTACAGTATATACTGTATAGGTACACTTTTAAAATTCAGCTTGATATATCAAGTTCTCAAGACAATTAACTTAGTAACAAGAATATTAATAAAATATCAACGTATAATGTTTAATAGTACAATTAATAAACTTCAAAATATTAAACATGTAATAAATAGGCAAAGTTTATAGAAGAAACTGCAGCTTGTCTCATGTGTCAGTAAAGATATTAGTCATTCTAGCTAGCTTATACACTCTGGGTTATTCACACAGTCCTACATTTACGCTATCCACTATCTGCTACACCCACAATGCCAAACCTTACTAGGCCCACCATAACCTCTAAAGCACTACTTTATACAATTGCCACAAGACTGATGTACATGAAATTGCTTAAGCAAACAATTATCCCATCTTTGTCTCAATCTAGTCACACCTCCCACTAAAACTGTACCGCAGGAGGGTTGAGGGTGATGGATAAGTTTTAATCCCACAAACTGGGATGTTACTTTAGTCAATTTTTTAGACAAAATAATGCACATGAGAATTCTTTAAGCACTTTGGCAGTCCAGCTTCTTTATGCATTCCTGACCATAAATGTTCCAGGCTCCCCAGGGCCTCACTCAGCGATGCAGAAAATGCAAAATGATAACAAATAACTTGTAAAATGTTTACCAAGTTGTAACTACATAAATGGTGTCAAAATGGCACATAACCTAGACCACTGTAATCAAGCAGAGCGAACTTGCAAAGCAAAAGCTGCCTGATATATCCTAACCTCATCCGGTTGGTCAGAAACAGTCACACGGTGAAATGAAACCAAACAGAAATTAGGGTCAAAAGTATCACCGACCCAACAGGCAGCATGGTGAAGGCAGAACGAGTTATTTCCCAAGTGTAGTTACAGGATGAGAGCTACGCTCATGGTGTCCTGTCTTCCCACTGTTTGCGAAGTTTGATCGTCGTCTCATGGCATGGACGATGAGCAACCCCTAAACTCTCACAAGGTAAGAGCAGGTTTGGGGAAGAGGGGATATTCATAGGCCTACCAAACCCATAGGGGATTTCCAGGCCCTGAAAGGTAAATCAAGCAGGACACCCAGTAAAAGACTACAACAGTAAAGTAATCCCAACTGCATCAGCATAAGAACTGACAGCCCAAACTCTTTAAAAGTGGTGAGCCGCTTCCCCTCAAATGATGAGGAAGAGTGAATGAGCTCATGTTAGTTTCAAGAGATTCAATTATTCTTTACATAGTTGAAGGAGTTTATTAAGCAGGATGTAAGGCTTTGGTCTCTTTTGAGCCCAGCAGTGGTTTATTTCAACTTGCTAACTGCCTGGATGCCTTCCCTAGTGAGGTGATATGTCACCACTCTCTGCACCTGGTTCTGGTCCTCAGTAATGCCACACCTAATGCAAAGTGGTAGATGGGAATCATCTCAGTGTATAGCTTCAGAGAGCCATAAGGGGCTCCCACCAAAGAAGTGTAATTATGACAGAATATGTGCAACAGCAATGAATATACAAATGTTTG